CTTAGCTGCCAGGAGTGGCTCCCTGCCCAGAGGGCCCCTAGCCTATACCCCTTAGAGTTCTGAGACTGGCAACAGTGAGGTGGATATGGGGACTGTGCAGGACCATTTCTCATCTTGAATATTCCTCTTTTGTTCCTGCAATCTCAGCTAAGCATCTAAAAAGATGGCTTTATATCTTAATTCAGCATGTCCAGGTAATCTGTCATTTGAGTACTTTCTCATTATTTAAGCTTCCATGTTGTCAGCAACAGCAGTCCTTTTTAATATGTGTGCTTACCCTCTTCTTAAGTGTGTGGTGTACCCAGAGGTGATGGAGGATGATTTAAGACTCTACTAAAACATGAAAATAAAGGTCATTTAAGGACACAGTCATCCTGAAATTATAGCATATTATAATCCTGAAATTTTTCAGAATGTAAGCCAATAATATTTGAATAAAAAAAATAAAGGTAGCTTGGTGGTTCATGTGTCAAGACCTGAGGGCTCCTAGGCTTTGGTACATGGTTATTCGTTTCAAAATCAATAACCACAATACCTCCCTTTCCCAAAGTCTCCTGGAAGAGATATGATAATCCACAGTGGTCTTATAGATCCAATGATAAAGGAAAGTAAAAATAAAATTACTGGACAAATGAACAGTGTATTACCTTGAGAGCGACCTGGGGTAGACCAAACATTTCCTGATTGTGTTCTTGATTCTGACTTTTAATTGAAAGCGCACCTTTAAGAAATCTTCACCTACTGCTATGATTTATAACCTGTCTTTATTTATTTATTTATTTATTTATTATTTATTTATTTTTGTGGGACCCTCACCGGTGGCCGGGGATCGAACTGGCGCTGCAGAGGCTGTGGGCAGCCTCGCAACCCAGCGCTGTGCCACCAGGGGAGGCCCTATAACCTGTCTTTATTGCTGTAAATATCCACAAAGATTACTTTCCTGTTCAACTATCAGTGGGATGTGGAGGAAAAAAGTCACACAAAGCTATAAAGTAACATCTTGCACAAAACATGGAAGTCCATGAAAACAGTTCACTCTGGAGCTGTATCTGTAGCAAGACATTAAACTATAATATAATGAGCAGCTCTTTGCCTTATTTAAAATATATAGAATAAAGTCTGATGTCTGATAATGAATGTTTTCATTATGTTATTATTTTTGCAGAAAGCTGAAACAGTAACAGCAAATTTCCATTGTGGACAACAATGAATTTAGTAATATATAAATGGACACAATTAAAAAACACAATGCTAGTCACACTAACTGAATAAACATACTTAAATTATTTTTACTGCCAAGTCCTCACTAAGCTCTGACTTCTGCCAGAAACACAGATCATAACCAACACTGCTGACTGCCTTTTAAAAATGTATTAATAATATTCCTCCTATTTTGTTCACTGCTTTTCTTCACCTTTACAGATGACATTTTTCAAACTATAAAATGCATTCTGCTGGCAAATCTTCTTGCTTCAACAGTTCTCAATTTTATAATAGTAAATCTACATCCTTTGCTAGCGAGACATCCACTATCTTTTGCTATGTGACTTTGAATGAGGCAGAGAACAAGTCATACATTTAAAAATCAATATCTAACCTTATCAATATTCATTTTACTTTGTCAATACAAAATACAAAGGTGAAAGAGCAGTAAATAAGCTAAAGCACTGAAATAAATTTGGTGTTCCTGTCACAATTAATAAATGTTCAACCGATAACACTGCTAGGTAGACGAGAGCCTGATAAAGCCACTGAAATCCTGCCTCAATACTAAAGCTGAAACAGGCAGAGTCAATTTTCAACACAGCCGCAGGTAAACATCATCAGATTTGGGGCCACTAATTTCACAGGGGACTTAAAATCATTTAAAATATATTCTTTTAATAAATGCAATATAGAGCTTTTTTGTGAGTCTAAAACTGTATAAATCCACTGGGATTACAAAGTTAAAGTGCCTAATTATAGTTTTCTGACAATTTTTTGGTAAATCTTCTCTAAACTTGCTGTTTGATCACATGCTATTTCACATGTCTCAGAGGATCATTAAACAATATTCAAATTGCCAGTCTTTTAAATCTTATCCCTGTTTCATGTGAGAGGGCATTATCTTCACCTGTATTTTCCAGCTTCGACTGAATGCTGACTAAAGGCAGAAGGAACTGCGAAAATCTGTCTCAATTCAATGTGCTTTACCAGAGGTCTGCCAGGGCCTATAAAGTGGTGAGAATATTCTCTCTGAAATAATTCTACCTGTTAACTCAACTTTGAAAGCTTACAAATACAACTGTCTTTCTTATTATGTGACTATGTTCCAGAATATCAAAATTGTAATTTTTAGAGAGGAGATGATCTAGGATTCATAACCTCATTATCAAAGTGTATTTATGCAAAAGCATTTCTTACTTGAATTTGGATAATGATCTTCACCTTAGAGTTGGTTCATTAGTATTAGTAGATATTCTTTTTAAAACTGAGGACTTTTAAATAACCTCATTCTCTTCCACTTTGAGAGGAGCAGTTATGCCTGAATTTTAAAAATGCATTGAAAATGAGAAACATCATTTTCCTACTCCACTACTTTTTCAGTAATTACAAAAAAGCATTATATTTTCTATAAATTGTATCATGTAAGTGAAAAAATCTAGTAATCTAATCAAAGTCCTGATTTTAAGAGAATCACAACAGTTTCAAAATGTAACATCTGGAAATATGCTGGTGTAAGTATATGAATGTTTTAGGCTAAAGTTTAATGTTTATGCCCATGCTCCGTATAAATGATCTCCACTGATGTTATTGAGTTGTAATGTCAAAATCACCTTGTAGAAATAATTATATTATCCTCTCTGCAACCATTATGCATTTCCTTCTCACTTCACGTATGTTCAGAGCATGAGGACCTGACCCTGACATTCTCTCTTCCTTATTGCTGGCACTAAGGTGCTTTAGTCACATTCCTAAGATTGTTCTTGTGCCATTTCTGCCACTAATGTCCGAATCATTGGAAGATAAAAGAATTCAGGGGACTATTCAGGTGGAATGGGGATATTAAAGAATACTACACCTGCCTTATGAAAGATTTGAACTGAAGAACTTATGACACGTATTTGATCTGAAAGTGGTTCTATGTTCCCATATGAAGACATATATTAGAAGCATGAATGCTCTGTATTTGCAATGAATGTTCTGTATCTCTACCTCTATTATCCTTAATATTTAGATGCATCTTCTATGAAATGTATGACATAGAACAGTGGACACAAGTACACTCATGCAATAATATAGTCCTTATAAGTATATTCTTACAAAGAGGCTGTAATTATGTTGTTGTGGAAAGTCAAGTAAATTAAGCTCAAAGCCTGCTCTCGCTATTCAATAATTATGTCATTTTAGGTAGCTAACTGAACACCTCTCTGAATCTTAATTTTATAGTGTATGATGATGATAACACCTGGATCATAATGTTGTTGCAATGATAAAATGAAATAATGAAAATCCTGGTGCACAGTAGAAGGTATTATTCTACATAAATATAAATACACATCACACTGAATTCTGAAAATTCAATACAGCTAGAAGATAAAGATCAGATATTGTACTTGTAGTTATAGGCATGACTTCATAATGTAGTTCTTTATGTGGATGGGATAACAGTATTAAAAATGCTTCAGTTTTAAGCTATTCTTTAATTTTTAATCTGAAATCCAGACTAGAACCCCTAAATAGAGGGTTCAACCTTCACATTTTTTTATTTCCTTTGAAATCACCATGTCTACATATAAACATATATATATATATATGCACATATATTTTTTCTTCTCATTATTTAACCTCTTGACACAAATCTTATTTTCATATTCTGTAAATAATCATGGGGAAAAATCACTTTTCCTAAAAAAAGACTTCCTAAATGAAGTTAAGAAAAAGTATATAAATCAGAATAGTTAAGAATCCCCACCTATAGGTCAAGGTTATCATTCCATGTAAATGATCAAGTAATATTGACTGAAAGTATTTTTTCAGTCACATTGCTACATACAAATCCATTATGGTTAGCTGTTGTCTATTCACGAGGTGTTTACATTTTTATTTTTTCTTTAGGAAATCAGGAGATAAGTCTTTTTTTTTTTAATTTAAAAATATTTTATCTTGAAAATTCTCTGACTTCAGGGAATTTCTTTTTTTAAATTTAATTTTATTTTTTTATTATTATTTTTAATTTTATATATTTTTTACATCATTTTTCATTTTTGCACAATGTATGCATTTAAAGGTGTTTACATTTTAATACTGGGCTTCCTCATATCCGATCTTTAACTATGCCTCCTTTACCACTGCTCTCACGTGCAACTTTGTAGTCCACACTAACCTGATTCAGACCCTTCAACCCCGAGCTTGAGTCCTTTGCCTTTCCAGGGTCTAGTGACTTGGCTCTGTTGAGCAGTGGATATCCCTGTACCACACTCCTTAGAATAACACGAGTTTTGAGGTGGAAGTGATGAGAGATGTTCATTTTAAGGCAAAGTTGTCTACATGAGGAGAGACCAATCTAAGCCTGCAGTAGAGTTCATGTGCATTGTGCAATTCCCACCTAGCCACAGGGAACCTTGTGTTCTGGGCCCCCTTACTTCTGAACTTATTACTGTTAATCTCTGCTGGGATTTCGTGCTGTTTCCTCAATTTTTATGCCTTGTTTTCCCAACCAAGCTGTCAATGTCTTGGGGCCAAAGACATGGTGCCTTTGACCCTTTAGTAGCCTGAATGGCTCTCCCAAAGTTTTGCATTTGGGCAGGCACACAATGAATATTGAAGTGATTGGCTGCCCAAAACATCCACACAAAGAACATGCACTCTGTCCTGACACCAAATGCAAATGCTTTGCCCTATGAGTTTCTTATAAACATGCTTCTTCTTCAGTGTGAGTGATGGGCACTGTCTGCAGTCTGTCCAGGATGACCCGGATGCGTGCGCTGGCGCTTTGCCCCAGCCCCTTTCTTTTTTACCTGCTGTGGTAGGTCCAGGCACTGGAGCAGCTTTTCTTCTCCTTTTGATATCTCCCGTGCATAAGGATCCTAAATGCATGCTTGTTTGCCTACAAGTAATTATCAGAAAAAAACTATTAACAAGGGAGGAAAAAAATGACAGATAAATACACAGCTTGTATAATCTGAACCTAAATCAAAACATTCTCAACAAAGATGGAGCAGCATAGTAAAACCACCAATCTTGTTTATATCGAAACATAATTACGTTTGTTGACAAGCGTTCAGCAGCTAAATGTGCCATCATAAATTGTTACTGGAATGAATAATATAAAAGGAATGCTTTTTAATTTTCAAAACTGGCAATCTTTCTGGCTCCACATAAAATCAAGCACTGTTGTTTCTGACAGGAAAATAGCTAAGATTAATTATCTAAAGAGATCACAATATTGTTGCTAGGTTATCAATTGGTTACTAATGCTTTACTGTCAGAACAACATTTATTACAGGAAAAGTATGATCAATTTCTTTTAGGATATTATGCAGCAGTGAATTCGCTGAAAAGATAGAAGGAAACAGTGATGTTCTCCCTTGTAATTCATATGATTAGAATTCTTTAGTTAATTATTAGCTAGGTGAAGAAGCATCACTTGAATGCTTTAATATTGGTCTACTTCTATTAAACAGGCTAACATGTATTTGTAAAGATGCAACATGTAAGAACTGAGAATTTCTGCTATTCTCGGACCAGGTGGAAGCACATCGTTCTGTCTAATCATGGACTTTTCCCTAAACAAAAGAGTTTTGGAAATTAAAAAGTGGCCCAAGAAAAACTAACACAAAGGTGGAAAGGATTTAAAAACCTTCTAACTATAGAGGAACTCTGTTTATGTCTTGGGTCATAACACCTGACCTGAGGCTGGGATAGTGCCTGCGGATCATGAGGCAGAAAGAAATGAGGCCTGCTTAATAGCAGGTTCTTTTAGTGATTTGGGGGTATTGGGTAGTATCCTGAAGTTTTATAGGACTCAATTTGAAAATAACCACATTCTTAGAGGAAAACCTTAAAGAAAAAAATAATTTCAGATAAAAACCAAGTATATATTTATACATGTATATGCTTAAATACAGTGAAAAATTAGAGCTGGGGAGTAAAAATACTGTAAATATAGGTTCTTTTTATAAGGTGTAAAATAAAGTACAATTAATGATCTGAATAATCCAAGGGCGCTACACAATTAAGTAAATATATCAAGAAAACATCAATATAGGTAACAGCAAACAGGCATCTGTTTAGTTTTCTGTTTGTATAGAGTGCACAGTTTCTCTGTTTATAATTAAAATGTCAAAGAAAAGTTCATTCAATTAGTGGCTAACCTTGTGAAATACATATTTATTGACATGCATAACTAACGTTTTGGTGGATACTGAGGTATGATCTTGGCTCATATGCCCAGAAAAATAAATTTCATGATGGCATTTACTTTTTCAAACTATATGGAAATTGTACAAAAACTACAATAATATCACAGAAGATATCCTTCTTTACAAAATGAATGAACTCACTCACTCAGCAAGCATGTACTACTATCGACTACAGACAGCATAAGAGCCCAGCGTGGTGGTGAAAATGATCAAAGGAAATGGGATGTTCCATTCCTATTATCTGAAGCGGTTAAAGTCTCATTGGGGAGATAAAGTCATAAATATGTGAGACAATTAGGGATGCTGGTGGTAGTGGAAGGCACAACCAACCTTATTAGCTATTTCTAGAGAATATATTATTTAGTTCTTAAAACAATTCTAAGCACCTTACATTGAATATACTTCTTTTCCTCTGGAGGCAAAAGTTGGTGCTTCAATGGACAACCACATTTGAGAGTACACCCTCCCTCCCAGGCACTGGATTCTGACTCCACGGAAGCTTTTTATAACTCTAAGTTAGAGATAACTGAAAGCAATGGAAAATAATGCTTGTCTACAAAAATGCAAATTAATTCTGTCCAGGGAAAGTAAAATCCTCTTGCCTATGGAGAAACCAGTTTTGCATCCATTTGCACATTCATTTCAATGCTTCTTACTCGCTTCATTGACCTCCTTTGAACCTCTTGTAACATCTGCCTGGTTCCCTCATTAATGAATGAATTACATAAAATTTCAAACACATGCTCATCTTATAAAAGCTTGTAAAAGCTTTTGATTTTACCTTTTTGTACAAAATTATCACTTCATATCTCCGATCCTGTTGAAACTTCCCTAGCAAAGGACTGGAGTCAAGTTTACCTTCTGCAGAAGCTCAGATATCAGGAATAGCTGATGTAGAAGGGAAGGTATTAACTTTCTGAAAATGGAATCAAGTGGGAATCTGAATTCTGAAGTGTGGCCTGTCATTGCGATGTGTAAACCAACCCACGGACCATCTACTTCTGACTCTCTTATTAAAACATATACTTAGGATTGAAGACACTGTTGGTCAGGTTTGCTATACTTATTCCTGGAAGTATTTTTATATGATGGCTTGTCCTGTGCAGAGAATTAGGAGCAGTTCGGGAAGTCTAGAGAGCAGTGTTTAGAGAAGGGATTATAAAATATGGTGGCAGAGGGCCTCCCAGGTGGCGCAGCGGTTGAATGCTGGGCTGCAAAGCTGCCGGCAGCCTCTGCAGCACCAGTTCGATCCCCGGCTGTCGGCGAGGGTCCCACATGGCGCGCAGACCTCTCTTGCTGCGCCCGCTGCTCCCCTCAGCAGTGTGTTTTGTCAGTCTGTGTGCTGTGCTCCCTGCTCTGGCTCTGGTGAATTCTCTCTCACCCTCCGCGCTTCTGACTGTACTTAGTGCTTGTATAAATAAATAAATAAATCTTTATAAAATATGGTGGCAGAGTGCTGGGCCTGGGCCATGGATGGTCTACACCATGTGTGCTGTATGCAGGCACTGAATTTTATAGCCACGTGGAGCCATCGAAGGCCATTTAGACAGAGAGGAAGTGGGCCAGATTCATGGGTGCTGACAGCAAACTGGGGTGGGCAGAGCTGAGACTGATGACAAGAGGGTAACTAGGTGAGTGGTAATCTGGACACTCATTTCCTCCAGGGATATCCATCTCAATTAGGACTATAGAATAATACAGACTTGCCTCAAGATGAATCTTCTTTGTGTGAGTCACTGTGTGAGGTGTGGGCAGGGGTAGGAGTCAATGGAAAGTCTTAATGCTGGGTTATTATAAAAACAAAGCCCGATTTTATTCCTCTCAGGTATGTTTAAGGTGCATACTAAGCTAACAACAATCAGCCAGGAGAGGCCTTAAGAAATACACTTTTAGAAATAATTAGAAGGAACACTTGAAGTTCTGATACCAGGTAGTTGCTCATTGTAGCTATTAATACTCTGGATTTACTTATATGCCTCTTGCACTAGCTGGGCATAACTGGAATCTTCTGATGGCTTGAAAACACTCTCTTGAGTTAGTTGTTGCCTTTAAAACATGACATTTTTGGACTATTTAAAATTTACTGGGAAAACCTGGATATAAAGATGGTGAAAAATAAACTCCAGGAACAACTCCCTCTTCCAAAGCTTTTTCTCATTTGCTGGAACAAAAGTTCCCTTTTGGGTGTCTTTATAGACCAAATGAATACAACATTTCATTCACTGCCCTCCTCCAATCCCCACAGAGCTACATAAAGGAAAACAGACAAACGGTTCAAGGAGAATCAAGTTAAAGTTAATAAAGTCAGTACATTGAACCCGAAGACCTGAGCCATAAGAAAAACAGCTAGCTGCATTTCAGTAATTCTATCAAGAATTGACTATCTGCTACAGCACATTGAGAGATCTGGATTATTGATCAGTAAGATTGCCCCATTTAAGCCTCCCCCTTCTCCTTCAGACAGGTGCAATGGAGTTGCTACAAAGAACACCAAGAGAGGTCTACTCTGTTACTTAGTTGTCACTGTTAATGTAAAACATAGCAGTTATTTTTTAATTTAAAATCAATGAATGTCTCAAAGGCAGCTTTGTTGCTTCAGTCTAAATGAGTCATTTGTCTTTGCAAAGCAGAGCACTTGATTACTATTCAAGGTGATAGTCGGCAAGTTTTGTTTTTTTTTTTATTTTGCTGTAGTGTTAATGACAATCCATTGTGCTAGGAACAAAACCAAAGTTACAAGAAAATGTTAAGATCCTTTTGTAAGGCCCTGTAAGGATATTACCAATCAACTATATCACTATATTGGTTTCAGTTAGAATATTTGGTTAGGGAGGAGAAGAGGGGAGACAAATCAGATCTGATAACCCCGTAACTACTGACGTTGTTAATATCAGAGGAGAACACCTGTCAGTGGGAAGGAGAAAGAAAGTTCTTATGTTGTGGATTAATAAGCATTATCAATTAGTTATGATATGAGACACAGTTTCCTATGTTCTAATTCTGCAAATTTTCCTATTAAATATTAGAAAATCAGCTCAGAAAAGAAGACTTTGTTTTGTTTTAAAGCAAACTTTACCCCACCATCCTTTTAAATGCTGTAATGGCAGTAATTTTATCTAGAGGGGGAAAGAAAGTAAAAAAAAAAAAAACAAAAACACACACAGAAAACCCTCCAACAAAAAAATCCCAGCGAAAGCCAGCTTGCCTGAAAACCTGGCCTCTGACCTAGACTGACAAGGACTGAAGCAGGCAGTGTCAAACACCATAATATTAAAGAGAAGACAATAGGAACTTGTCTCTTGCTTATACACATTCACAAATAGAGGCTTTTCAGGGAATTAGACCTAGTTAAAATTGCCCCCTGGATAAAATGTGTTCCCTAGCCATCTCAGACAAGCTGCAGAGGAGAGAGAAACAGATGTGACTACGGACCCTGGCATTTGGCAAGAACACTCACTGTCACTTAGAAAAATATAGGCCTGGACAGGGCATCAGCCGCACAGAAATGAAGCAGGTCTGGTGTCATTGCAGGAGCAAGTGGGTGGCCGAGAGAAGGTTGGGGCCTGGAAAATCCAGTCCTGTGTAAACTTCCTCTTCAAGATCCAAGGACTCTGTCCTCCCCTGATTCCATGTCAGGATGTCTCAACAAATCAAATGGAACAAGTGAACATCAGTAACTAGAGCT